TGCATACTTACAAACGAAGAATTCCTAATTGGCAAAACTCGACTAAAACATCCTTCTAACAATAGGCACTGTGATTTCAAACGGTTGGATGTGTCGGTTTTACAGATCAATCTAAAGTAGAGGAACTTGGAAGCTTACCTTCAACGTAACATGGATGCTCATTAGAATTTCTGAATACACATGATCTTATGTGCTACAAAACAGTCTGTCCGGCAAGCGTTCACCAAATATTACAAGCGACTTATAGTCATAAAAAATCTCGCGCTTTAAATAATACGATGTAAAAGGCACTATTGGGTGCAATACAAACGAACCAGTGAACCGCTCCTTTCAATTTTAAAAATATTTTAAAAATGTGCCAATACGCCGCGTTCTTACGTCCGAGGCATTTACCGGTCCTGACTCTTGTGTTGTTGTTTAAGATCGCTCCCGCTTCCTGGTGAACGCTAATTTAACGTCCTACAGAGCACTAATGAGCTACTCAACTGTAACACGTGGAATCAGCAGTTAGAGAACAGCAGTACAGATCTGAAAAACAGCACAGCACACAATGTTAAACGAGGACTTCACACCAAGAGAGAACACAGTGGGAATCACGAGCCTCTTTATTTCAAAATCAAAAAGCGCGGTGTGTGTATGTACAGCGGGAAGAGTCAGTTTACAAAGTAGTCTTATGAGTCATCCTGTAAGCTTAGTGTACATAGGGCTTGCTCTTCTTCCTCTAAAGAGTTTACGTTTGGTCGCCCTGCAATAGAAAGAAAATAGAATGCATTAGTATATCATACATAGCAATTTCAACTCCGTTACACCGCCCCCTCTCTTAAACAGGCACTGTCCTCAGTGCCTGGTCTCGGACATGGATATGCTGTCCCCCCTTGTGATGGTACCTCATAAAACGTAGTGGCAGGCGGTGGATTGGCGAACTGGGCATCCGATGAAACTGTCATCCTATCTGGTTTTATTTGGTTATAGTGTACAGTTATCACGTCATCTTGGGGTCGTTGCAAGTTACGTAATACGAACGTAGTGGGGGATCGGATGAGGACGATTTCAAAGGGGCCTTGCCATGGCTGGTGGAATTTACTGCAACTCCCTGACGATGTCATGGGACGACTTAGCCAAACGCGATCATCGACTTTATACACTGGTCCGTGCACCCGACGATCGTACAAATCTTTTTGACGTCCACTAGCTTTGCGCAAATTGCTGTTGGCCAAGCGGTATGCATCAGCTAAGCGGTTACGGAGAGTACGTATGTACGGTACATGCTCTTGTTCTTCGCAAGGCAGCAGGGGCGTCTGTATCTCCACTGGTAGGCGTAATTCATGCCCGAATAATAAAATAGCGGGTGAAAACCCGGTGGAGCCATGTACCGATGTACGATATGCTAGAAGACACTGAGGAAGGACATCATCCCATAACTCCTGCGACGATCTGTTCACAAACGCCTGCAATATGGCTTTAATACTTCTGTTTGTTCTTTCTACCAGCCCGTTACCTTCTGGGTGATACGCAGTGGTTCGTGTCTTCCTGATTCCCAAAAGCTGGCATATCTCGGCGACGAGGTGACTTTCAAAGGCTGGACCTTGATCAGAATGAAGTGAGAAGGGAGCGCCATAGCGGGAAACCCAATGATCGATGAAAGCTCGGGCAACCGTAAGAGCGTCTTGCTGGGGAAGGGGTACTGCTTCGCACCATTTAGTAAAGTAGTCTACCATAACCAGTATATAGCGATTCCCTTTCTTTGTTGTTGTTAATGGTCCCATAATATCTATGCCGACCCGCTGATGTGGTCCTGTGGTCACCATCGGAGTTAACGGTGCGCGAGATGTCTGTCGAGGCGATTTGAAACGGCAGCACGTGTTACAATTTTCGCAAATTTGCACTACATCTTCATGCATGGATGGCCACCAAAAGCGTTGGCGGACCGCGTATTCTGTCCTTCGTTCTCCTGCATGGCCTAGTTCGCGGTGCACCTGCTCAACAATGCTCTCGACTTTTATCCGTGGTACTACCAAAAGAGGTTGTCTCGCTTCGTTAATTAAGAACAACGTGTCACCATATAATTTTAGATTACTCCATTTAGTGCAAATACGGCGAGTTGTTAACGATTGATCCTTTAACTCTTTCATGGATGGTTTATTGTTTTCCTGCAACTGTCTTTGATATATAATCCGCATATCTGGGTCTGCTGCTTGTAGGGAAGGTCAATCGATCTCTACGGCTGTGCTAAGAACTGCATTAACAGTACCTGCGGTTTGAGGTATGCGGGAAAGAGCGTCTGCGTTTGTATGTCGGCTTCCAGGTCGGTACTCGCATGTGAAATCGAACTCCTGTAGTCGTTCTTGCCAGCGTGCCACTTGCCCTTCTGGTTCGCGGAAGGAGCGGAGCCATTGTAATGCACGGTGGTCTGTGCGTACACGGAAAGGTTTACCTAGTAAACAATGGCGGAAATGTTGTAAGAATTTTACTAATGCTAACATCTCTCGATGCGTTGTCGAATATCTTGTTTCACTCTTATCCAGTCGACGGCTAGCGTACGCAATGACTCTTTCTTGCCCATCTGGGGCCACTTGTGATAGAACTGCTCCAATAGCGGAGGAACTGGCATCCGTATCAAGTATAAATTCTCCCCCGCTTGCTGAGGTATCCGGAACGGCTAATATGGGTGGAGAGCTTAGTCGTGTCTTCAAAGCATCGAACGCCTGTTGACACTCTGTAGTCCATAAAAATTTTCGTCCTTTGTGCGTCAAACGGTGTAAGGGTGCTGCTAACGATGCAAAGTCACGGACAAAGCGTCTGTAGTAAGAAGCTAGGCCAAGAAAGCTACGGACGTATTCAGGTGATTTGGGCTGTGGCCAATTAACAATGACACGTGTCTTTTCTTTATCGGTGCCTACTCCATCTGCAGTGATACGATGTCCTAAGAAAACTACTTCTTTCTGCAGCAGGCAACATTTGGACGGTTTTACTTTTAGGTTGTGTTGTTGAAGGCGATGGAGAACTGCTTTCAGATTAGCATTATGTTGCTCGGGTGTGCTACCATACACAATAATGTCATCAAGATAAATCAAACATTTATGAGGTACTATATCTCGTAAAACTGTTTGCATTAATCTTTGGAAGGTAGCTGGGGCATTTGTTAGACCGAAAGGCATTACTTGGAATTCGTATAAACCATTTGGCACTACAAATGCGGTTTTCTTTCTATCTTGTGGTCTGACTTCCACTTGCCAGTACCCTGATGCTAGGTCTAACGTTGAAAACCAACATGCGCCACTCAAAGCGTCTAATATAGTATCGATTCTCGGAAGAGGAAAAGAGTCACGCTTAGTTATAGCGTTAAGGCGTCGATAGTCTATGCAGAGACGCAGAGAGGAATCTTTCATTTTAACCAGGACGATAGGTGATGCCCAGGGGGATGATGACGGTACTATAATATTCTTGTCAAGCATATCCTTTATCATCGTATCCAGTTGTGGTTGATAGTGTACTGGCACTCTACGAGGCGGTTGCCTAAGTGGCCTGTGGTCCCTCGTGCAAATGGTGTGTTGCACAGTACTCGTGCGATTGCCGGAAATACTCTCTTCGAATACCGAACTAAACTGTTGAAGCACGGCAATCGTTGCATGTCGATCTTTCTCTTTTAGTATTCGGTTGCCGTTTACTTGCCGCACCAGGTCTGAGATTCCCACATATGACACAGCTTTAAATGACGTGTCAGTATGGTGCAGGCGTATTTTAGTCTCTCCAAATTTCGCTTCCAAGCTGTCCACGAATATACCAGCTTTATGTTCTAACATGAAATCGACTCCGAGTATCATATCCCAAGTCAATGTCGGACAAACTAAAAATCCATGACGGAACGGATGTCTATCTATCGTTAGGTCCAACCATACCTTAGAGTTCACTTTCAATGGGTCTCCGCTTGCTGTGAGTAATGTGGATGGGTATCGCGTCTGTTGGACTTTATGGTTAAGCCTTCCTAAAAGCTCGCTCTTAATTAGGGATACTGACGCTCCGGTGTCTAATAAAACTTCGATATCGATACCCTGTACTCTAGCCTTAATCGTGATGGGACGCACATGGTTAGCATAAGAAGATAAATGGAAAATGTACGGCTTACTTGTGTTACCAAAACGATTATGACCAAATTTCTTTGCATTTTTGCCAAACCTTCGACAGTACGGGCATTCGGATTGACGACCATGATAACTATTCGTTGATCTCCACTTCTTCTCAGCGGGACTGAATTGTCTTCGACTGCTGCTCCAGTGGGAAGACTGGGTAACGTCGGATATGTGTTGAGGGTTCAGTGGGCGACTCGCTTTTATGGGTTGCACTACTGCCATCGCGGTTGGCTGGTGCATGGCTTTTTAGCTGCTCGGCTGCCATGAACCGGAATGTAGTTCTTTTTAAGGAATTTATATCTGTTGGAGGGTTTAGTAGGAAGTGTTCCTTTAAGGAACTGGATAGTAACCCTTCCACGAACCGAGACTTAATCAATTCATCTCTTCCAGTGGCATCAAGACAAGGGAACGCTTGCACAGCCATCTGTTGCAAAAAATTAAAATAATCCATTGGATTCTCGCCGGGTGTTTGATGTCGTGACAAAAATCGGATGGCTGCTTGTTGGGGATCCACCGGCGTCGAAAAACAATCGTCGAGAATCTTCCAGTTCTGAGCGAGAGTATTGTCTGCCGCAAACCCGTTGACCATAGCTCTCTTGGTAGCTTCGTCACTGAGGTAGGACACCAGATAATCGAATTGTTCCGAAGCTGGAACTTTACGAAGATATGCTGTGACTTTGAACTTCCACACTGTATAGTCTGACGAGTTTTCCAGGAGTGGCAGTCGACGGGGAGCTGAGCCAGTAGTTGGCTTGACTGGAATCACCGGCGGTTCGTCCAGGTTTTCATCGCGTTTTTTAGTGAACACCTCCATCACCAGTTGTAACACGTGGAATCAGCAGTTAGAGAACAGCAGTACAGATCTGAAAAACAGCACAGCACACAATGTTAAACGAGGACTTCACACCAAGAGAGAACACAGTGGGAATCACGAGCCTCTTTATTTCAAAATCAAAAAGCGCGGTGTGTGTATGTACAGCGGGAAGAGTCAGTTTACAAAGTAGTCTTATGAGTCATCCTGTAAGCTTAGTGTACATAGGGCTTGCTCTTCTTCCTCTAAAGAGTTTACGTTTGGTCGCCCTGCAATAGAAAGAAAATAGAATGCATTAGTATATCATACATAGCAATTTCAACTCCGTTACACAACGTGTATTTGACATTGGCGCTCCTGATCGGGTTTATCTATTATCGCGGTATTGGTTGTTTAGGCGTGATTAGTGCCTCAATAGTTTGTACCAATGCATACTGTGATCGTCTGACATCCAAACTGCTCAGTTCTACCGAGTTCATATACACTTTTTACGCATAATAAAGGTCAGTTTGGATTGTTAGTTATAATCTGATGTATTTAATTGATTGCTTATGAAATTACTAATTCAATATGGTTATATTCATGACTTGCTCTTTCAGTCTTTATGTAATGTTCACATGCATTCCTAATCACAAGCGTGTACAGTTTCTGAAGGTGTAGTAGAATTAATAGTTCCTCTATTGTATTAGGATGCCTATTCATTGATATTCCTTCCGTATTGTTTATATTTTAAATATACAGAGCAAGCATCTGCGGAAGTTGGCGTGGCATAACCACCTAACAGTTGTACAAATAAGGCGTTTCATTCTCATAATTACTCATTCCTTATCGATATAACCAGTTTAAGTACATTGTGGAATGTCTTCAATCTTCAGTAATAAGGATAAGAGGTCTATTGACCTATATTAATCCTTGTAGTTTGTTACACTGTCGAGGTTCAGTCTCGTTTTGAATATATCAGCAGAAGGTGCTGGTATTGCGCGTTCTGGTAGAGAACTCCAGTAATTAACTACTCGGTGCGAGAAACGAAACCCCAGACATGGACGATATGATCTCGGTTTTTGAACTTTCTCCGAATGTCCTCTCACATAATCAGTTCTGGTGTCTAGTGTGTGACAAAATCTCAGCACGGATACAGAAGGCTCGTCTAGCTTTCGCCAACTTGCGTCATTTATGGCGTAGGCGAGATATCCGTCTACCAAACAAAGGACGGGTTTACTGAGCAGCAGTATTTTATGGCTGTGAAACATGACCGGTAAGAGTAGAGGATATTCGTAGGCTACTAGTATTCGATCATAGGTGTCTTCGAAGCATTACTCGTATATCGTGGGACCACCGAGTAAGTAATGCAGTTGTTAGGAAACGATTACTATGTAAGCATGGCAAATCGATTGACGAAGTAGTGAAACCTCATCAGTTGAGATGGCTGGGACACGTGTTACGTATGCCCAGCCACCGACTGCCCCGACGTGCAATGTTTCATGGTGTAGGAGTAGGTTGGAAGAAAGCTAGGGGCGGGCAAACGAAAACGTGGCACGAATCCATGAAGTCACTGACAAGTGAACTGAGCCATGTTGGTAGGTGTAGACTACCTGGTTGGGATCCGCAAGATGATAGCGACTGATGGTTAGAGACCTTGAATGACATGGCTCAAAATCGTTTGCAATGGCGAAGGTGCATCCACTCTTTGTGTTCTGCCAAATTCTGATCTGAATTATTCATGTCTCTTTCATTTTTCTCTTTCCAAATTTATTTCAATGGATTATACTCCTTGAATAACATCTTCAAACCCTAATCCTTCCGACTACTGTTTATATTGTTACTACTTCTGCCACTATGGGATTTGAATCGGTAGCTGTATCTCTGTGTTAATGTGGTATGGCAACTCGAACTGATGTACGTACGTACGAAGTTCTACGTTGTGACTAACTGACTGAGGTGTCTCAGTCTATCTTCATAAGATAGGCCAGATAGACCTTTTACCATTTTAGTCATTCGTCGTTAGACTCGTTCCAGCATATCCGCCTCATAGTTGAGACAAGGATTCGCTGCTTGAATCCCATATTCCAAATGTGGTCTCGAAACATTTCCTCATTCAAATACTGGAAAGATCTACGAATAGACCATAATACCCTATAGTCTTTTGCAGCAACAGCCTAATAGCTACTCGTCGTTTTGAGATCGCTACTTATTATGACCTCGGGTAACATAAATTCACGTATTTTGTAGTGATACGAATCATCATGTTACTTAACTGCATCACCTCACTGTTGTTAGAATTTACTAGTAACCATCCGTCCATACATGCCACTAATAAGTTGATATCATCATGTAATACTATTCATTCTGACATATTATATATAGGTCTCCAAATCCTCATGTCATCGGTGGAGTATAACGGATGACTTCGCTTCAGTTTTTAATTCATTTATATGAAGTAAAAAGAGAAGAGGACCGAGGATTGTGCCTTGGAGAACTCCACCTTTTACAGGTTTCCACAATGAGAGAGCTCCATTTACTCGTACCCTTTGTCTCCTGTCATGTAGAAAGTCGCTTATCCAGTCTATGACCGTATAAGAAACTCCAAAAGTTTCCAGTTTTAATTTAAAACCAGAACGGGAGACCTTATCAAAAGCTTTACTTAGGTCTATGAAAATCACATCTACAGGAATATTTCGATCTTTTGTCTCGGCCCAATCTTCTCTTGCGATGCGATTTGTCAAGCATGATAAGCCTTTCCGAAAACCATGTTGTTTCGTGGATAAAAGATTATGTCCTTCTACATAGTTTATAACACCCATCCGAATCAGCGCTAGTGGATATTTGTAAAAGACCCTAGAATCTTCTCATGCAAAAACTGCAAATATACTAACGTTTTCCTCACCGTAATTCCTACTTCCATCTACCCTTGTTATTTGGAATATAATTTCGTTCCTGTTTAACTGTGTTCTGATTTGGGGACTAGTCGAGTGAATTAGTGTCAAAAAAGACTAAGCAACAGGAATAGCTGGGTCGTAATCAGAGAAATAACAGTCCACCATCGATAATATAGGGACATCATCTAGTTTTGGGGGTAATTTGAGCTGTGTAAGTTATAACTACTTTCTAAAATACAACAATCTCTGCCGGTTCATGTAAGGAAACGGTTTCAGGTATTCTATAGTCATGCTAACTTTTGAATCTTCCTGGAGTTAAGACGCAACTGTTTTTGATTCTTTAAGTAATGTAATTTCCTCCTACACTGTTTCTCTTTTATGAACGTGGCCTTTTTTGAGCCATGGTGGGGTGTTTCTTGAACTGCATTGTATTATTTAGATTAATGTTCTAATCTTAATTTTTTTCCTATAATGCAGTTCTTATTATACCGGAACTTAATCACGTTCGTCCACGTATTCAGTAGTAGCTGCTATGCATGAATACTACACTATCACTTTCCGGACGGGCCAAATCATTAACACTTAAAACTTTCTCGCCGAGGTGTGGGTTTTTTCTAAAACCACAGATTTTTGGTTCCTTTATAATATTGCACTGTAAAAACTACTCGTTCTGGAATTCGCTTTCATTAATAAGGAATCCCAAATTTTTTTTACGCAATCCAAATCAAAGTATGTGTGCAGTATGTGATGCCCCCAAGTTTCAGACTGATGTCATGCCAAAGGTCCAAGAGTTCTACCGCCGACCATTACCTCGTCATTGCATTCCTTTTAGTTCTCCTGAAGGAAAACACATATTTCGCGAGGCTTTATTGTCTGGACATATGGAAAGCTACTTCTCTTTGGCTTCCCAATTTTGCACACAAGTACGATAAACCTGGTTACACAGTTTTTCTCATGTAGAATTGGATTGTAATGTAAATTAAATTTCAGTATCCCTCTGGTTATGTAGTAATTGGACTACATCTAATGTACAGATGACATTTGTGGCCAAGTATGTCTTTACTGATCATGAAAATGATAAAGTTACGTAGCTCATATTTGCTTTCTTATACCATAAACACTAAAAAAGAAAATCAAACAGAAACAGTAGTATTTTCTTAGAAATTTTCAGTTTCATGTAGCCCAATGAAAATTTTCTGTAATCTAAAGGGTTCATCGTGTTTCAGACGGTCGTTTCTGCCCCGATGAATTCTGTAATCGCTGTTGTGCCTTTTAAGAGTATTCCATATTCATTAGGACTCCAGTTATCTCCATTATGAGTTTGCTTAGTTCATCAATCTACCAAATGTTTCAAGTATTTATATTGACTAATAGATAAAAAGAGGTGATATTATTTTTAGAGTCGTCACACTCGTGAGCGTTTATCCGGAACAGGAAGGTGACTGACTGTGTAAGTCATGAAGCAACAAACAACAATATTCTTCACTTTGTGTAAGTGCGTAGATACACTAGTTAGTCATTAAATATTAACCAGTGCCATGTTTATCTAATTCTTAACGCTATTCGGACTTCATCGATCGATTTATTCTGTGGCCACTAGCATGTTATTCGACGTCGCGTCCATTGTTTTGATATTCTCAGTGGTTAGGATAAGTCAGACAAGTAACCACGTTCTTGTTCTATCTGTGGATCCTGACAACATACATTTACGCCGCGGAAATCTAGAATCTTGGTTAATAAAGCTAACATTATTTAGGGTCGATGCAGTCGATCCAGTAATTATTTAGGAGAGCACTTCCGAGGAACTAGTCTCATCTGCAGAAAAATAAAGCTGGAAAGGAAGTGTTGGTGATGTGGATGATGAGAAGTCTAATGAACAAGGAAAGCAGCTGTTAAGAGATTCGATTAGTACTGGAGATGTGAGGTTAACTGATAGTTAACTTTTTAACTGCTTTTATCACACAGTTGAATATTCATCATGTAATAACGTTTCTATCGTTCAGCTCAGTTCTGCATCATACTTTCTACTTTGATTTTTCATAGTTAAAAATGTGGATGTATTTAAAAAAGTTTAGTCGGAAAGTAGTCACCATCACCTAAAGCATTTGAGCACCTTCACTTATTGTCTTTATTGAATTCCAAGCTTTTGTTGTTGGTTAAAAAATTAGAGCTTGAGTGATGTTACAGTTTGAACCCCTTCACATTTGTCCCAGATATGTAGTTGTGTATCCTTAAATGCTTAGTACGCTCTGAACAATACTAGATGAGTTCTGCCAAAATAAATTTGATCATATAAAGTTCTCTCAATCTTCATTAGAATAACAGTATTTGATAAGTATATGTAAATTAATATAATGACGGACTTCAAGTTATATTGGACTATTCTTGTATTTATGTTTGGCTTTCACACTTTAAGATTTTATTTTTCTACCGTTTGGTTTATTGTGTCGTTTTGCAACAGACATTTATTTCGCAGGTACGTAGTTTGCGTGCGCTTCATCAAGAAATTTTGTTGGCTAACATAATGTTCATTCCTAACTATCTTCAGCTTCTGAAAATTGTTAAAAAGCCACATAGCTTAATAAGTACATGCTTCTATAAAAATGACTTTATATGCAAACCTAATATAATTAACAGGTCTCTCAAATTCCAGGTTCATTTTCCTGGGAATCAGTGACGATTAGGTAGACAAGGTTATGAATTCGCCTTCCAAAATTGTAATATTCAGCAAGTTTGACCAGTCTTTATATAAGTGTAATCATTGCTAGATTTCATGTTCGATATATTGGGCTTCTTTGATTTGCAATGAAAAGACGTTTGGGGACTGTTAGATTGGTGGATACAGTGCCAATCGACTGTAATATTCGATAATACTATGTAACCAAATAGTAACTAAACAAAACCTTGAACACAAGAATAAAAATTATTAAGTCTTTTAATAAACAAACGATTAGAGGATATGAAACTATTTCATTTACCCTCCACTGAAATTAATGTCTATCAGACTTGAATCTTTCCCTACCATACCATCTTCCTTAAGAAACAATGTGGGATGCTTTTGTGATAACATTAGTAAAACTATGGTACTCTCAATCCCTATATTCGATTTTCTTGGGAAACGCAGTTCTCTTATGTCTTCAGATTGCCAGACACTTCTCCATCATCGCCCGATTCTCAAGGCACCATAAACTTTTGCATTCCCTTCTCTTTTCTTCAGCCTGAACATGTACCACATGACTTCATATTATCTTCTATGGCCTAGTATTCTCGGACACTGCTTCGTTTGACTTGGACAAAAAAGTAAATATATTTTGAAGCGGAAAGGAAAGTTAATCAGTTATATATCGAATAAAATGAATATAATCTTATAACTGAGTAATTGTCACCAAGTTCAAATCACAGCGTACTAATTAATACTATGAAGTTAGATTAAAAATAAAATAATGAACTTCATCATACTGAATAAAAGTCAATGAACGAAGTCCACTGTAATTCAGTTTGTGAATCCTAAAATTGATTTCTCCATAAATGTATTTGTGGATTCTACATCCCCAACACAATCTGTAGATATATAAGCAACCAAATTGTTTTTGTGTTGTAAGACAGAACGTTAGTGCTCCTCATGAACTTGTTTGATAAGTGAAATATTAAAGCTGATTAGCTGTGTGCGTGTTGTACACTTTCTTGAATGTTCACAACCCAAAAATAAGCATTGTAGACATGAAACCCGAGAGTTTTATCGAAATTCCGACAAATGTTATAGCTGAATTTAAATCTCTAGTATGTTCAAGATACTTGATCGAATTTATCCTACCATAGCCCAGGATCCACTGTATTGTTTTTTCATTAAAATCCATTATCTCAACTACAATTGATTCCGATTTAGTAACTTGTGAATAATGTTCAGATTGTGACTCACAGTAGTATTTTGATAAATTCAATCTGTAGTTACATCTGAATGCACAGTGCTTTCCACTCATCCGTCAATAATTGGTATTTTAACGACTGATTTACGTCCCTGTTGCGTTAAGTATTAGTCTTAGGTATGAGCTTAGTTGTAGATATTTTTCGGTTGAATGTATTATACGTTAATTTGTATTCGTAACAATATTTATCACGTTAAGCGTGTGTAGCAAAACACTTTCTATAAACCATATTTATACTACCCAGAGGTGTCTTCGTCGCATTGCTCGTATATCCTGGGACCACCGAGTAAGTAATTCAGATGTTAGGAAACAGGTACTAGGTAAGGATGGCAAATCGATTGATGAAGTAGTGAAGCTTCATCAGTTGAGATGGCTGGGACACGTGTTACGTATGCCCAACCACCGACTGCCCCGACGTGCAATGTTTCATGGTGTAGGAGTAGGTTGGAAGAAAGCTAGGGGCGGGCAAACGAAAACGTGGCACGAATCCATGAAGTCACTGACAAGTGAACTGAGCCATGTTGGTAGGTGTAGACTACCTGGTTGGGATCCGCAAGATGATAGCGACTGATGGTTAGAGACCTTGAATGACATGGCTCAAAATCGTTTGCAATGGCGAAGGTGCATCCACTCTTTGTGTTCTGCCAAATTCTGATCTGAATTATTCATGTCTCTTTCATTTTTCTCTTTCCAAATTTATTTCAATGGATTATACTCCTTGAATAACATCTTCAAACCCTAATCCTTCCGACTACTGTTTATATTGTTACTACTTCTGCCACTATGGGATTTGAATCGGTAGCTGTATCTCTGTGCTAATGTGGTATGGCAACTCGAACTGATGTACGTACGTACGAAGTTCTACGTTGTGACTGACTGATTGAGAGGTGTAAACTAATCTGCCTTTATGATTTTAATAATGAAATGATTTCAAAACTTTGTACCTTATTGCTAAAAACAGCCGGAAAGACGCCTTGTTTATATCAGTATGGAAAAGAAACCTAACAGTTAGATTATTGTAGAATACACCATCTAATCATGTATTTTTTAAGAAGGCTGTAAAAGACAATGCTTATTGACTGTAAAAAAACGATTGTTTCTTTACACAAACATATACAACATTTTACCTTTTGATTCGTGTTATTTCTCTCCCATTTTACCATTAATAGGAAGAACCTTCTTATTGTGGACTAGCCAGTTTAGTTATGATTCTAAATGCCTTAGGACTAGATCCTGGACGTGTATGGAAGGGACCTTGGCGTTGGTATCATGAAAATATGCTAACGTGTTGTTTACCACGGGATGTACTAACTAAAGGAATTACCCTAGATGATTTTGTCAAAATTGCCCGTTGTTACGGTTTAGATGTAAGTAAATGTTTATGCAGTTTTGCCTAATTTATTTTTATCTACTTAAATGTATCCATTTATTTAAATTACTGGTTGTCACAACATGCAAAAATATGTAAACCAAATGCCCTCATACGACCGAGAATGGAGAGAGTCAGCTCTCCCTCTGTAAATGCCCTCACATGACCACGTGCAAACAACCGCCGTCAGGAAAGTCCTCGCGGCGAGGGTGTTGTTTACGAAATTGAGAGGACGAAAAGCGAATGTCAGGCGCTTTAACCGGGTTGATGGACACGGAAAGTCCACCTAGAGGAGTTGGAAAACCCTGATTCCAAACCAATGGTGCATATGGGCTCCAGGATTCTTATAGAGACAGATGGCGTATGAACCTATTTTTGGTCACCGGCTACCATGTGACTGCTCCACTGCCTAGTGGATTAGACCTTTAGGTCAAAGGCCCTGGGAGTAGCCCCTTAAGAAAACTACCTGCTTCGGTTTGGGCCCTCAGACGGTATCCCAGCCCTCACACAAATCGAATGAGATTTGTGTGGCGCATATATATTTGGTACTTCCTTGTACCAATGCTTGTATGTTTAAACAAAAATAATAATAAATGATAGCGAAATAAATGGAATAAAAATCAGACATGATGTAAATATCCGAAAACAGTTTTATGTAATTATGCTTTCGTCGTCCCTAGTTTATCATAACTTCATCAATTTTTTTTACTTTTTGAGGTCAGTTTTCTCCCCAACAAACAATATGAGGTATAAATAATACTGACATTGTACACCTTAAGTGTATGTGAGCAACTGAAATCTGTCTTGTATGAAGAGTAGAGAATTTAATTATAGTCTATGTCTAAATACTCTCCACTAGACTATAGTACTACTCACTCAAAATTCCCATAGTATACAATCAGTTTCAACTCATCAGTAAACAAGTACATAGACCAGATTGTCATTTTCAGGTTGAAAAAGATTATATTTTACAGGTTCATTACAATAAACAGCTTGGATTAAACTAGACAATTCGAACTTTGCAGTTGAAGACAGTCAGTGTAGCAACGTCCTCTACAGCGATAGGCCTCAACATACACAAGGGAAAAAACAAGATCCTCAAATACAACACGAAGAACACCAGCCCAGTCACACATTTGATGGCGAAGCTATGAAACAGGTGGAAACTTTCATGTCCCTGGTCAGTATTTTCGATGGACAAGGAGGATCGGATGGAAATGTGATGACAAGGATTGGCAATGCAAGAGCAGCATTTCTACAATTGAAGAACATATGGAACTCAAAACGACTGTCTATCAGCCAACATCAAATCCAGAATCTTCAATACGAACTTCAAGACAGTTCTACTGTAAGCAGCTGAAACTTTAAGAACTAATACAATCATCATCAAAAACGTATAAGTATTTCTAAACAATTATCTATGCAAGATACTAAATATTCGTTGACCGAATACCATAGGCAAAAACATAGTGTGCGAGAGAACAAATCACTCCCCATCTGAAGAAATTAGGAAAAGACCATTGAAGTGGGTGTGACATACATTGTGGAAATCATCAAACTGCATTACGTGGCAGGCCCTAACTCGGAATCCTGAAGAGAAACGGAAAAGAGGAAGCCTTAATAACGCACTGCGTCGGCAATTGGAAGCAGATATGAAAAGGATGAATAACAACTGGAAACAACCGGAAAGGATTGCCCAGGACAGTTCAATGGAAAATCCCGATGGACGGCCTATGCTCCTCCACGATGGGTAACAGACGTAAAAAATTAAGCAACAGGTGCATGGCAGTTCAGTGCACATCAAATCTCTGAAAACACAATTTTGTATATACTGACAGACGTAATTCATTGTGGCTTTTAGGGCATGAAAGTATGACGTACACATCTTGGATTGTTGCAAGATTAATCTCGTCCGTTATATCCACTCAAGTGAATATAAAACTACCTAAATGCTTCCAAGGTTTTATTGTGACGAACTGCATGGATAAATAAGGAGTCTGACAATCGAGCAAACTTCACACAGTTTATGAAAAAAATCGTACTTATGAGCGATAATCTGCTGTTTTCAAAAGTTTTACTTAGTTTTTATGTCTCGGAACGAGAATTCATCGATAGCATATTCGATGTCTAAGATTTTTCCTGAATATCTGTTGTTCACTAATAGAACTTTATGAATGTCATTAGTAATATAGTTAAAAAAGGAATAGAAAATTGAGTAATTTTTTTCAATTTGAGTCGTTTGACTTAGCGAATGTCCTCCGCCATAGTCCACCTGTCTGGCTAAATGCTTTTTTCATATGGATATCTTGGAAACTATTTTCCATAATAAGTAGTTTCATTCCAATTGCGTTTTACTTATCTAAAGAAGTTAGTGGTATACACAATCAACATTTGTTTGATCGACATGAATATGTCGACAAATCTCAGATGTTTTGTGAGCTAATATGAAACAAGTGGTTTTTAGTAACTTAACGCTTGAATATATAGTATCAAGCCAATAAATATTTAATGTAAATTTAAGCATGATTATATCATGGGACTTATAATTAGATAGTTCAGAGATTATCAAGTGTGACAGACCAACATGTTTACGTTACCTCGTTACCGATGATCTAGATAAATTCCGGTAAAAACCGCCCAATTGCTTCGAATAAATCGTGATAATTCGGTTGCATCAATACCAACTTGCACACAAGACCAAGCTGGTCGCTTTCAAATCCTTCCTACTGACTGAACTGATCTTCATTGATGTTGTAGTATTATTATCATACACTACATAAAACCATGACTTATGTATCAATTTAATTTTATAAAAAAAATTCGGTGAGGCTATAATTTATGAACGACCTTTGAGCGATGCTAAAGTGACCTTCAGAGTGTGCATCTACTAACTAGGACCAAATGAAGGTCATAAACCAGTGTGAGGAATTAGAATTATGAATTACAGTTGACGGTTAGGGTTAGGAATTAGATTTAGAGTTTTCATCACGAGCTGACATCGGCTGAAATGCTAAAACCTTATTTAGCCAAACGGATGAATGAATTTCGCGCCAAGACTTTCTTCGTATCTGATCGGTTCGTCCATAAATTATAGTCTCGCCATGTAAAGAAATTAATCCCCATTATGTTATTCGTATTATATATTACTAGACTAATTGTTACTCATTTCAACATTCAAACCAAGTTGTTTTGGTGTTTGTCGGTTTTCTTCATGTTATCGAGAAACTTGAGCGTATTTAGAATCGTACTGCCTAAAGTCTGCTACTTTTTATTCTTATAATTAGGTGGACCTACATCGTGTTTCTCCTGATACTTCACTGTCTTATTTTCAAGATGTGGTGATCAAAATGACTTCAGGGTCCTCTGAAGGTTATCTTGTTGTCTGCTATAGCCGCAGCGCTTTAGGCCAGACGGGTACAGGTCATTTCGCCCCAGTAGGCGGTTATCATCCTGATAGAGAACTTGTCTTTTTATTTGATACAGCTCGTTTCAAATACCCACCTCATTGGGTTTCTCTAACAAAACTGTGGTTTAGCATGAGCCAAGTGGATCCTGATACACAACTACCCCGAGGTTTTGTTGTCCTTCGGAAGGCCGCAATTCCAGTCTCCACAGAACAGCTGGTTAAAGCTCAAAAGGAACTTCGTCTAAGTTTTAGCAAAGATACAAATAATGATCACCAAGATCAAGTAGTTAATGGATCTGTTTTATGTTTATTTGGAATTTCTGACTGTGCCTACCAAGTACGTTTAGTTGCCTAAAGTTGTCTTTTTGTTAACTTGCAATGTATATTTCTAGTTAGTTATATGGCATACATACATTAAATAACCAAATAACCTTTCATAGTTTCCAAGTGTCTGTCGTTGGATCCCACACAATTTTATCTCTTAACTTTCTACGCTTTGTATCGTTCACTGTAAAAATCTAGATAAGTCTAGTTCCAGTTAACTGATACACAAAAACGACGTGAAACAGAAGTGTGCATGTGTATGTTTTGGTTTATGACTTGCTGAACAAACAAACTCTCAATCAGTTAGTGAGGCTTAATAATACATGGTCAAGTTATAATTGGTCATGAAACCAAACTAATAAAATAAGATGAAAATAAGTTTTCAGAGTTTTCTTTACAGTGAAATAGTGGTGTACATTATATATTAGTTACTAAAACAAGCTTAGTCAGAAGTCAATTGAAGTATAAGCAATTCGAAAATATGGATTTTGTAGGTCTCTAAGCGCCAATGAAGTTAAGCTCTGATCTACAATGAGCAACTTTTGCCTTAGTACCTTGGTATAAATTCCTTTTTTCCCATCCGACGTAATAAGCTCGAGGAAATAAATCACCAAGAGAGAAAAGGTAGATAAGTAATTATGCAAATATTATTATGGACTGAAAAAAACGGAAGTAAAACAATTATTCCAGCAAAGAGACTTTCCTTTTGAACGATTTCATAATCAAAAGCTTTACAACCGTATTTATATAACTAATGTAATGGACAAGTTTCATTGGTATCCATGTGTATAGTGAGTGAAAATTGTAGACTTAATACTTATACTTAATACATATTTCAGCACTTTTATCTTGATTTATTTCCATTTCAAAGGCTTATTCGTCTCCATCTGTCTTACGTGATCCAAATTCTACTGGTTACAAGTTAAAATTATTGGTAGATCGATGGGTTGATTGGCTAAGATGTGATTCAGAAGTTCCCAACGAACTTTCAACACACTTTTGGTACGAAGCTTTGACATATCTGTTTAATGAGATCGACCAATTAAGACCAACTAGTTTCTTTTTCGTCATTCATCCTTTCACGACTTCATTATCAGATACTCAACTAAACAATACTGATAGTCAGTTTTTGAACTTTTCTACGCATGATATATTACGTGATCTTATTGGATCAACACTCGGTCATATAGTTACTGATTTCATGTTGAAAATGAACAAGGAATACTTGACGTGGTTGACTTCTGACGGTACTTTTCGTTTGTCTATCTCAACTCCAGATTCTTGGACTAAACCCACTGACGATTGCCCTTTCACGGTCTTATCCGATCCTGGGCTAAGATTTTGCTTACTAACAGCCAGTTTTTTATTGGCTTTCCCTTATGACAATTTTATTTCGAATCATTTATTATTCGATAGTTCAGTATCGTCGTGTTTATCATCATCTACTTGTGTATCACGCCTTCAGATAATGAAAAAGTTAACAGAAGATGTAAAACTATTACCTACAACTCTCACTGAATTACGTTTGCTACGGAATACATTGCAGTCTTTAATGAATACAAACAGAAATCTCTGGTGTACAGGTTGTGTAGAGCAAAAGTGACATGTTATTTACACTTTTGGTAAACCCTTTTATCTAGGTATATTCCTCTTTTCTAACCAGGATTCCTATTGAATCTAACGTTCAGTTTCTTATTGGTTATATGATGCACTATTTTCTTTGTCACCAACCATGTTTTCTAACTCTATTTAGTGACATATATGACTGTTAAATAATGGATAAGCGTTGCAGCTCAGGTGGATGCTTTCATTGTCGTTATGGACAACATCAGCGCCTACTCCACATAAAACGGCAATGAAAGCTCCGCAATTAAACTATCTAGCTTAAACAATACAAAACACCCAATAACATATTATTTCTTGTTAATTCCAAATTTACCTGTTTATTTACTAGATTAAGAATAAAAAATTATTTTCTTTTTTATAATAATTATCGCGTTTATTGTCTTACTTGATTGGTCTGTGTACAAATTCTAAATACGCGTTTACTGTCTTTGCTCTGGGTCTCTTTATCAGAATTGATTTTCTGTTGTATAAGATTTAATATGAATAAATCTTTTAAAGAACTCGTGTGTTTTGTACTGAGCGCATTTGCTTACTAGCTGACAAGCAGAGTATGGGACTTGGCACAAGGCATGAATTCAAGTTGAGAAACTCCATGTCGTCAAATGCCCTAATACAAGTGAGGGTTTAAACAGTCATTGCTCCCTCTCGAAATCCCCTTAAATGACCATACTTTCATAGCCTCTGCCAGGGAAGTCATACTCATCGTCTTTACGTAGCAAGAGTTTTGTTGACGAGAATGAGAAGCAAACGTCTGACACTTAAACTGGATTAGTGGGTATAAAGAACCCACGTAGAGGAATTGTATGGTCCATTCTCAGTCAGTCACAACGTAGAACTTCGTACGTACGTACATCAGTTCGAGTTGCCATACCACATTAGCACAGAGATGCAGTTGTCGATTCAAATCCCATAGTGGTAGAAGTAGTAGGAGTATAATCAGAAATCCAAAAGATTAGGGTTTGAAGAAATTATTGAAGGAGTATAGTACAGTGAAATAAATTTGGAAAGAGAAAAAGGATAGGGACATGAAGAATTTAAAAAGGTTAGAATTTGGTAGAACACAAGGAGTGGATGCACCTTCGCCATTGCAAACGATTTTGAGCCATGTCATTCAAGGTCTCTAACCATCGGTTGCTGTCATCTTGCGAATCCCAACCAGGTAGTCTACACCTACCAACATGGCTCAGTTCACTTGTCAGTGACTTCATGGATTTGTGCCACGTTTTCGTTTGCCCGCCCCTAGCTTTCTTCCAACCTACTCCTACACCATGAAACATTGCACGTCGGGGCAGTCGGTGGTCGGGCATACGTAACACATGTCCCAGCCATCTCAACTGATGAAGTTTCACTACTTCATCAATCGATTTGCCATCCTTACCTAGTACCCGTTTCCTAACATCTGCATTACTTACCCGGTGGTCCCAGGATATACGAGCAATGCTTCGAAGACACCTATGATCGAACACTAGTAGCCTACGAATATCCTCTACTCTTATTGGCCATGTTTCACTGCCATAAAGTAGGACGGAGCGAAATGATGTACAGAACACCCGTCCTTTGGTTGCTAGACGGATATCTCGCCTACGCCATAAATGACTAGTTGGCGAAATCTAGTTGAGCCTTCTGTATCCGTGCTGAGATTTCGTCACACACCAGACCACAAGGGCTGATGAGACTCCCAAGATAAGTGAAGTGGTCTACACGCTCAACTACTTCACTCCCTATCATTAGTTCAGGTGCCGATGCAACCCAATCCTGAAGTAACATTTTGCACTTCGAGGGAGAGAATTGCATCCCGAACATGCCTGCATAGTTGCTTATAGTGATCAAAAGACTCTGCATTTTGTCAGCGTCTTCACCGAGTAAAACTATGTCATTGGCATATTCTAAGTCAACAAGTGAGTCTCCTGGTAAGAGTTCAACTCCGCTAAATTTGGATGAGGAATGTGTTATTTTCTAAAAGCACGTTAACAAGAATGGAGACAGTGGACAGCCCTGACGAACACCACTTGAGGTAATCAGTTCTGATGACAGTTCGCCATAGGCTCTAACTCGACCAGTTTTGTTCGAGTAGAGAGCCTTTATAAGGTTAATGTACTTCTTTGGTACCCCTTTCAGTGACAAACACCGCCATAGAACCTCACGATCAACGGAGTCAAATGCCGCCTTAAGGTCGAGAAATACTACGATTGTGGGTCGTCTGAATGTGTGTTTATGTTCTAGGACCTGACGTAGGGTGAATATCTGGTCTATGCAACCACGTCCAGGTCGGAAACCAGCCTGGTTTTCTCTAGTCTGCTCTTCACGAGCTTTGGTTAGGCGTCCAAGTATTATTGAAGCTAATATTTTAGACACTATATTAGTCAAACTGATTCCTTTGTGATTGTCACAGGAGGACTTTTGTCCTTTCTTGTAGACTGGCACAATCAGTGATTGGGACCAGTCAGATGGAATTACGTCCAGTTCCCAGATTCTACCTAAGACCTCAGTCAATCTCACTGCTAGTACTGGACCACAATCCTTAAAAATCTCAGGGGTCAACCTGTCGGGGCCTGCTGCTCTCCCTCGCTTCAGATTTCCTATAGCTTTTCCAACCTCACAGAGGGTTGGAGGACTTACCTCAATTTGCCATTCAGGACGACTGGGGATCGTGGGTAATTGAAGTTTGGCTGAAGGCCAGTTGAACTGATCCCTAAAGTGTTCTGCCCATCGATCCAATCTCCTGGATTGAGAATGAATGAGATGCCCATCTTTATCTGAGATGGTTTCACTGATATTCGGGTTCCTAATACCGGTTTCTTTAACGAGTCTGAATAGCTGCCTACTGTTACCTATTGTCCATTCTGCCTCATTGGGAATTCTCACTATGAACAGTAACGCTTGGATGATTGTATATTCATTTTACGTTTAAGACTCTTCGTGTATTGAAAAGATCAATGTACTTGCAAACTTCTTAATTGGCCAAGTCATAAAGGATGAGAACTACAAACCCTCCAGCCTATTCGTTGACTATTATGTTACTCAAATTTTATGTCTTTGGTAGATTGTATAAATGGTTGAAATTTACAAATGTTGACAGTTTCTGCATAATACGTATTATCTACTAAATGATCATCTCTCCCCACCGAAGAAATATCTGTAATTCAGTTGATGAGGTCATGAATCTTCATCCACTGAGATGGTTAGGCCACGTGTTACGTATGCCTGAACACCGATTACCACGACGCGCTATGCTGACTAGTATTGGGGATGATTGGAAGAGAGTTAGGGGCGGCCAAACCAAAACGTGGCATCAGAGCATGAAGTCACTAACTCCTAGTCTGAGCTATGTTGGCAGATGCAGACTACTTGGTTGGGGTCCACGTGACTATCGTAACCAATGGTTGGAGACTCTAGGTGACATGGCTCAGAATCGATCACAATGGTGTAGGTGTATACACTCTTTATCTTCCCTTAAACCTTGAGATTAAAATTGCTTCATAACTTTCTTCCTTCCTATACTATATCCTTATATACAACCTATCTTTTATATACTACCACCAATAAATTGACTACTTCTATGAATCCAGTGTTCATCTTGTTGTGCTAACGAGATATGGCAACTTGGACCGATGCATATATATGCCTGGTCCTACGTTGTAGCTGACTGAAACATGAAATAATAAAAAAATGAATTTATGTAGTCTTGTATCATTCGTTGTTCCCTATTTTATTAAAGGAAAAAAAACATATCAATATCGGTAATTATTTATACAAACAGGGTGGTACTACACTTCATTCATAGTTATTATAATGATAATGGTAATAATAACAATAATCTGTTTTCTGTTGTTGTTTTGTTAATGTAACCTTAGGTAGTTGAATAAATATAGTGCGTATATTGTTTGTTGTGTTTTGTCTAATTTAAATAATTGCATTGTTATAACCTTTAAATATAAATGAAATTCTATAAAGCACATAACTTATTATTATATTATTGTCTATATTAGAAAATCTAACCGGAAAGAGTGAATTATGAAATTTTTCTTTAGTAGCATATTATCAGTTGTTTTTTTTTAATGACTGTTCATCAATAATAACTGTACAAAATACTTTAAGCTGACCTATTTATGAAAACATAGACAATTAGTTGAATACGAACTTTGTTTTATTGAAATCACTGCACATCATATATATATATATATATATATATATATATATATATATATATATATATATATATATAAATTGGTTTAATTTATCATGCCTTAATAGATCAAAATGAAAAGCTACAATTGATGGAATCCAATCATGTAGGGAGTGAATACAGATATCATCAATGCGATTGGATAGTGGTTGTGCTATATTATCACAAATGGATGGAAGTTAAGAATGTGGATAATGGAATTTTTCAACACATTGGTTTAAAGGTAAAGTGTTGACCAAAAATAATGAAGGTACTGGATCAGATTGTTGTAGTAGGTAGTGAGTAGGGGAGACTGGAGAGTTTAAGAATTGAAATAACCAAAGGGTTACTGACTTTTGGTTTTTAATGATTCTTCTATCGATTTATTTATTTAAACACATAAATATTGGTACAACGAAGCACCAGATACATATGCTCCATACAAATCTCATTCGATTTATGTGAGGGCTGTGATACTGCCCAGATGCCCAAACTGAAGCAGTGGTTTTCTTAGGGGGCCTTTGACCGAAAGATCTGATCCACAAGGCAGTGGAGCACGGTAAGGAGATGCAGTCTCATGATAGCCGGTGACCAACGGTTGATTCATACGCCATTCGTTCCTTCAGGATAATGGAGCCCATGTGCACCATTGGTTTGGAATGAGGGTTTTCCAACTCCCCTAGGTGGATCCTCCACATCCACCAACCCGGTTAAAGCGCCGGACATTCGCTTCTATCGATGTGTCTGTAATTTAAACTATAAATCAAAGAAAGAAAATAGTGTAATTGAAGCTTACACCGACTTTTAAGTAAGCAGTTTTTACTAACCCTTGTGGAATATAGAAAGATTTCAAATAAAGACAAGTCAGTAAAACAGCTCGAGATCATATGGGTTGATATTTCCAAACAGATTTTTTCACCAATCTCGGGTAGATTATTGGTTCAGCTTACAACTGATGAGAATCAAAATGGTGGCGGCGACTTTGTTATGTTTGATAAGAAAGTTTCCTTCTGCGAACTTAGTAAAGGGTTGGATATAAAAAGTCTATTTTATGAACAGGGAAATATGTAACTCATAAAATTATTTCGAGCTGTTTGTCATAAAATTTTCATCTTACAATATTTAAAGACTGTTCATACATTAAGTTATTGATTAATAAATGGTAAATGCTTTTTAGTTAAGGTTATACAAAATGTAACCGCTAACCAATGAGAATAAGGTCTATGAGTTAAATATAACCCCTTATGGTTTGTTTGGTTTATTTTCGATATCGAATATTTGCTTTCTTTGTCCTTTTTGAGTTAATCAAATTTAGCTTTGCTTCGTTAGATTAGACTAAATTCTGTATACAAGGGGGAGTAATTGAATTTTAGTCTGGATCTCTGAAGGTTTTGAAATAGTAGTTTTTAATTAAGAAAACCTAGATATCAAACAAACTGTCAGTTTTATCTAAAGACAGACTTGGGCAGATACCAGAAAATAGGGAAGGGCGTTTACCATCATCACTACATATATTTAACTCCTTCAAATTTA